AGAGATACGACAAAATTGGCACATGTGCCCATGCAAGTGTGCCATGGATTTGATCCTGGGGTCATGTTTAGAAAATGGTTCCCAGTGCTAGGAGGATTTAAAACTCTTATAATAAGAGTTATAATAGTAATAGGAACCTGCTTACTGCTCCCTTGTTTGCTATCTGTACTTCTTCAAATGATAAAAAGCTTCATCGCTACCTTAGTTCACCAAAATGCTTCAGCACAAGTGTACTATATGAATCACTATCGATCTGTCTTGCAAGAAGACTTAGGTAGTAAAAATGAAAGTGAGAACTCCCACTATTGAGTGAGAGTCTCAAAGGCGGGGAGTAAAGGAGGAGACCATCCCTCATATTGTCTTAGGCCCAATTTCTGCCTCCAAAGAAAGAAAAAGTAAAAACTAAAAGGCAGAACTGAAATCCACAAGCAGACAGCCCAGTCCCACACCCTAGGCCTGGTAGTTAAAGATCGACCCCTGACCTAATCGGTTATGTTATCTATAGATTACAGACATTGTATAGAAAAGCACTGTGAAAATCCCTATCCTGTTTTGTTCCGATCTAATTACCGGTGCATGCAGCTCCCAGTCACGTACACCCTGCTTGCTCAATCGATCACGACCCTCTCACGCTCACCCCCTTAGAGTTGTGAGCTCTTAAAATGGACAGGAATTGCTCACTCGGGGAGCTCGGCTCTTGAAACAGGAGTCTTGCCGATGTCGCTGGCCGAATAAACCCCTTCCTTCTTTAACTCAGTGTCTGAGGAGTTTTGTCTGAGGCTCGTCCTGCTACATTGACACCCAAGGGATGAAGGGGCTCCTTATAGCTGCTGGGTAGGGAAAGCAATTCTGACTCTGTACTAGGCTTCCACTGTTACCATCTTGGCTGGGACAAGTGGGAGTCCCTTGTTACTTTTCCCACATGACCTTGACTGATAACATGGGGGTAGTGGTGATGGTAGTCCCATTACTGCAGGGCAGTGATGAAAGTCTTTGCTCTCTACTCAGCCTCTTCTGGGACAGTACCCGAGAGCAGGGAAAGAGAGGGGGTGCTTCATTACTGCTGGGGAGAGGGTAAAGTCCACTCAATCTCTGCAAGCATGGCTGGAGATGGCTGGAGTAGAGTAGAGCAGTTACTGTCTAAAAGTTTCTTTTAGAAAGTATTAAAGACCAGAGGCCAGTTGTGGTGACTTGTGCCTATAATCCCAGCATTTTGGAAGGTCAAGGTGGGTGGATCACCTCAGGTTAGGAGTTTGAGACCAGCCTGGCCAATATGGTGAAACCCCCTCTCTACTAAAAATACAAAAATTTGCTGGGAGTTGTGGCGGGCACTTGTAGTTCCAGCTACTTGGGAGGCTGAGGCAGGAGAACTGCTTGAACCCAGGAGGCAGAGGTTGCAGTGAGCCGAGATTGAGCCACTGCACCCCAGCCTGGGTGGCAGAGTGAGACTCTGTCTCAAAAAATATATAATAATAATAAAGAAAGAAAGTATTGAAGATCAGAATATACTGCCGCAAAATGACTGTAGGGGACCCAAAATATACCATCCCTAAAGATGCCTCTTGGGCAAAAAGATTATTTTAAACTGAGTATTTTGAGAAACTGGAGACACAGGAGAAGCTCTAAAAATGGAGAAGTTCCCTTTTTAAAGGGAAATTCACATCTATAAAGGACATTTCCATTCGAATCTGTGTTTTCCTCTCTGTACCATGAAGGATGACTCTAAATCACCAGGGACTCTATTATCAATGCAAAGGGCACCAACCTAAATCTGCATAAGAAACTTTTGTCTTGTGTACAGTGCTTTTCTTGGTTACCTCCCATTACTGACTTCTTTTCTTTGTTTTAGTTGAAGTATTTAGTATTTAAGTCTGAACTCAGAAGCCACCTCTTTGAGATTTATTCATTTCTCTGGGTATCTCCCATGTACATATGAAATACAATGTTAATAAATTTATATATTTTTCTTGTTAATCTGTCTTTTGTAACAAAGATCTGCTCCAAGTAAGAACTATACAAGGTAGGGAGAAGACTGTTTTTCCTGCTCTATGAAACATTGCTCCTTTCCCGGTCTTTGGGCTAGAGAGAGTAGGCTTTTGTTGGGGCCTTTAAAAGTCTCTACTCTTTGGTGTGTCTGGGTTGCTGGCTCCACACCTAGGATATGTGTGATAAGAAGAAAACCTACGGAACTCACCACTGTGTTTGTTGCTGGGGTCCCAAAGTCCCTACATAGCCTGCTTTCTATTCTCTACTTTGTATAGTCTTCTTAATGTTGTTTTATAGATAATATCCAGGGTTTTTTGTACTTAGCAGGAGAAATAGTGGAAAGTCCATTTACCCTATCTTCCTGGAAGCAGAAATCCCAGGAGGAAAATGGAATCCGTAACTGAAGAATGCTTTATAAAATCCATTCTACAAGGCAAAAAAAAAATGACAGAGAGCAACAAGGGGCTAGGAGGGACAAACAAACCTGTAAAGAGAAGTAAAATGATCTTATCAAAATATATGTGGAGAATTTTACATATATTTGCCAGAATTTCAAATGCTGATTCCATTGGGTCTCAAGTAATTTCCAAAGGTAGACTGGCTCTAACTCTTGATTTAATCAACATCTGAAAATCAATGAGGGGAAGTAACTAAATGGAAGCCACAGAGTGACTCTAGGACAGAACCAAAATGAGAGTTGAGGGTTTCTGACTTCCTGTCAGTATCATTTTCACCAGTAGGCATCTGTTCCATGATATTGTCAGAGGCATTTGAACCAGAGAGGCTTCATTTTGAGTGTGGGCTAGGAAAATAAGGCTGAAACTTGCTGGACCGTATTCTCAGAAAGTAAGGCATTCCGAGCCTCTAGATGTTTAAAGTTAAGGGAACAAATTAATAATGTTTACCAAAACAGACTCAGACTTGGGAGTGTCCAGATATCCTGATATCTGGAGAACAAAGGCATTCCTAATTTTGCTTCAAAGATAGTAATATCGATTCTTGGGCTGGGTGCGGTGGCTCACGCCTGTAATCCCAGCACTTTGGGAGGCTGAGATGGGTGGATCACGAGGTCAGGAGATTGAGACCAGCCTGGCCAGCATGGTGAAACTCTGTCTCTAAAAAAAAATACAAAAATTAGCTGGGCACAGTGGTGCTTGCCTGTAGTCCTAGCTACTCGGGAGGCTGAGGCAGGAGAATTACTTGAACCTGGGAAGCGGAGGTTGCAGTAAGCCGAGATCGTGCCACTGCACTCCAGCCTGGGTGACAGAGTGAGACTCCATCTCAAAATAATAATAATAATAATAATAATAATAATAATAATATCGAATCTTGCAAAATATAGTAATTAAGAAAATTAATCCTTTATCACAAACTTGTAGCAGAACACATCTCCCTATATATACAAGCATTGTACCTGGGGTGGGTACATCCCTCCTCTTATTTTCAGGAATATCCTACTCTGTCTACGGAGGAGCTATTCTTTCACCACTTTACTCACTTAATAAACTTGCTTTTGCTTTGCACTGCAGACTCACCCTGAATTCTTTCTTGCACGAGATCCAAGAACCCTCTCTCAGGGTGTGGATCGGGACTCCTTTTCTGTAACAATATGGTGGACAGATGAAGAGTTGGACCAAATGGTCTTTAAGGGATATTTCCAACTTCAACCTCTGGCAATTTCCATGACTGTCCTTAGCCCTTGCTTCCCCTCTTCCTATCTCATCTTTTTTAACCACTATGCTAAGGCTATATTAAAGAATGGAAATTGGGGGGAAAATGGAAGGGGGAAAAATCTATCAATAGGATAAATATACTGAATTTTGTATTTGTGAGGACTGCTTCTTGTTACATATTTAGAAAAATACCTCCCATATGAACTGCAGCTGTACAATTGAACAGGCAGGGCTGTTAACTTGTTTCTAGTTCATTACGCATGTGACCTTATGGCATTCTTAATACAGCTGAGCATGGAAAACTTTATTCAGGAGTCCTGCTGTTATCATTAACTAGGGCAACAGCAGCAGCTATGGTGAAAGGAAATGCAATACAGCAGCAGAATGCCTGGGCTTCAACACTACATACTAGTTGTATAACTCTGGGCAATCATGTAACCTCTTTGTACCTCAGTTGCTTCATTTAAAAGGGGGACAATAGCAATACTAAACCTTATTAGTTCTTTTGAGGATCACAGGTAAAAGCTTAGAAAGTGCCATTAGCTACTGCTGCAACTAATTGTTACATCATTCATTGGAGGTCTGTTATAAATAAAATACCAGATAGAAGCTTTGCATATTTTATCACATCTAACACTAGAATAACATTTGAAGTATGGGGTATTGTTATCCCCACCTTATAGATTAAGAAACTAGGATTACTTTATTATGAAAGTCATTTATAAATATAGTATAAAATAGTATGATCTAAAACGATAAATTACATTTTAAAACAACTTTTGAAGCCAAAAAGTAAAGTCACAAAAACATTTCCTAGCATATTCATAAAATACAATTAGCAAAGCACCCAGTATTAAAATACATTACCATGACAACTATTTATTACTTCTATGATTTAAATTCTCCCAAAACATTTAAAGAAGGAAAATAAAAACAACCTGTTAACTCTACAAGAGTATTAGGCTTTGTGTCCTTCTGCTGTTTTTTGTAAAGTACTCCCACTGAGCTAACAGGCATACCCAGGATTCCTGTAGGGACTCCGTATATACTATATACTATGTACTATGTGCAGAAGTGTTTCTCACCATCCTGCAGCTAGAGTGAAGAATCGGAAACGTAAGATAAAATTAAAACTTGATGAGGTTTTTCCGTCTAATTTCTCATGTAAAAATTCCCTCATTCTATTTCTAATTTTATTTATTTCTAGTTTTAAACTTTTGGAAGAGAAAAAATAAAACTAGTAAATAATTGCTTGCTTGATATTTGTCCACTGTCAGAGAGTATTGTGTAAATACTTTGCGATACAAGAATAAACATATACATTTTAAAATCTGTGCTTACCAAGGCAGAATGGTTCTAATACATTCAATGGCGAAAATTCATTCTCCAGGTTCATTAATTGAAGGCACCTTCTGATTAGCAAGGACTTGATTTTCTCAGGACACGGTTTCAATAATAAGTAGCCAGTAACATAGAGAACATATCGAAACCAGCACAAAAGTGGAGTGGCAATTCTGCCATTGGGTGACTCAGACATTCGTTCAATTGTTGGAAACAGCAGAAAGGCGCGAATTACCTACAATAAAGAAGCATACTTCGATGAGGGGTTTTCTTAAGGGATAGGTCCATTACTTATTGTTTCTTCTGTACAGTAATGACAAACGACTGGGTTTTAGGATGACTAGAGATCTGTTCAGACTGAGAAGAACCACCACTCACCACCCTCTCAGCCCATAACGAGGCAAAGTCACAGCTCACTGCAGACTTGACATCCTGAGTGCAAGTGATCCTTCCACCTCGGCCTCCCAAGTAACTGGGACTACAGGTGTGCCCCACCATGACTGGTTCATTTTTTATATTTTTATAGAGACAGGGTCTCCCTATGTTGCCCACGCTGGTCTTGAACTCCTGGGATCAAATGATCCTCCTGCCTTGGCCTCCCAAAGTGCTGGGATTACACACGTGACCCACCACGTCCAGGTCCCCTCATTTCTTTTTAATGCTAAAAAATATTCTATCATCTGAATGTACCATAGTGTATTTATTCATTCACCTACTGAAGGAAATACTGGTTGCCTGTAAGTTTTGGCAATTATGAATAAAGCTGCTATAAATGTCCGTGTGCACTAAGTTTTCAACTTCTTTGGGTAGATATCTAAGAGCACAATTGCTGGAACACATGGTAAGAATATATTTAGTTTTGTATGAAATCACTAAATTGTCTTCCAGGTGGTTGGACTATTTGATTCCCACCAGTAATGAATGAGAGGTGCTCCATATCCTGCTGTTTCTATATCCTTTTCAGTATTTATTGTCAGTGTTCTGAATTTTGGCCATTCTAACAGGTATGGCGTTATCTCATTGTCTTTTTAATTTACATTTCCTTGATGCCATATGATGTGGAGCATCTTCTCATGTTTATTTGTCATCTGTATATCTTCTTTGGTGAGGTGTCTGTTAAGGTTTTTGATCCATTTTTAAATAGGTTTTATATTTTTCTTATTTTGAGTTTTCTGAGTTCCTTGTACATTTTGGATTTGTCTTTTATCAGATGTGTCTTTTCAAATATTTTCTTTCAGTCTATGACTTATCTTTTTATTCTCTTGACCCTGCTTTCCGTAGAAGCTTTTAATTTTAATGAAGTTCAGCTTATCTGTTATTTCTTTCACTGATTGTACCTTTGGTTTGTATCTAAAAAGTCATCATCATATCCAAGGTCATCTAGGTTTTCTCCTATGTTATCTTCTAGTCATTTTATAGTTGTTTCATATTTAGATCTATAACCCATTTTGAGTTAGTTTTTGTGATAAGTATAAGGTCTATGTCTAGATTCATTTTCTTGCACGTGGATGTTCAGTTGTTCCAGTATCATTTGTTATAAAGACTGTTTTTGCTATACTTACTATGCTGTGCAATATATCCCAAAGGAAAAAACTGTATTCCTCCTAATTGAGGCTTTGTACCCTCTGACCATCCTCTCCTCCTTCTCCCACTGCCCACCACCCCAGACTCTAGTAACCACCATTCCACTCCCTGCTCTGTAAGTTCTATTGTTTCAGATTCCACATATAAGTGAGGACATGCGGTATTTGTCTTCCTGTGTCTGGTTTATTTCACTTAACATAATATTCTCCAGCTCCATCTACATTGTTGCACATGACAAAACTTCTTTTTAAGGCTGAGCAGTATTCCATTGTATACACACACATTTTCTTTATCCATTCATCTGCTGATGGACACTTAGGTTGATTCTGTTAACTTTGCTATTGTGAAGGATGTTCCAATGGACATGGAGTACATACATCTCTGATATATTAATTTTATTTTATGGCATGATCCTGGCTCATTGCAGCATCTCATAAATTTTGATAAGTTCTGTTTTCATTTTCATTTAGTTCAAAATTATTTCTTAATTTATCTTGAAATTTCTTTTCTAATCCATGTTTAATCTCCATGTATTTTGGGACTTTCCAGTTATCTTTCCTTTATTGGTTTCTAAATTCCACTGTGGTCTGAGAGCAGGCATTATATAATTTCTATTCTAAATTTGTTAATGTGTGCTTTACGGACCATAATGTGGTCTATCTTGGTGAATGTTCCATGTGATCTTGAGAAGAATGTGTATTCTGCTCTTGTTGGATGAAGTAGTCTATAGATGTCAATTATACAAGTTGATTGATGGTGTTGTTGGATTCAACTATGTCTTTACCCATTTACTGCCTGCTGGATCTGTCCATTTCTGATAAAGGGGTGTTAAAATCTCCAACTATGATAGTGGATGCATATATTTATGCTCGTAGTTCTATCAGTTTTTGCCTCACATAGTTTTATGCTTTGCTGCTAGGCACATGCATGTAAAGGACTGTTATGTCTTCTTGGAGGACTGACCTCTTTATCATTATGTAATGACCTTTTTTATCCTGGATAACTTTCTTTGCTTTGAAAGTCTGCCTTGTCTGAAATGTAGCTACTCCTGTTTTCTTTTGATTAGTGTTAGCTTGGTATATTTTTCTCCATCCATTTACTTTTCATCTACATGTATCTTTATATTTAAAGTGGGCTTCTTCTAAACAACATATAGTTGAGTCTTGTTTTTTGATCCACTCTAACAATCTTTTAATTAGGGCTTTTCTTTTTCTTTTCTTTTTTTTTTTTGAGACAGGATCTCACTCTGTCACTGCAGCCTTGACCTCCCAGGCTCGAGGAGATCCTCCCACCTCAGCCTTCTGAGTAGCTGGGACTACAGGCACATACCACCATGCCTGGCTAATTTTTCAAATTTTTTGTAGAGATGGTCTCTCTCCCTATGTTGCGCAGGCTGGTCTTGAACTCCTGGGCCCAAGTGATCTTCCTGCCTCAGCCTCCCAAAGTGCTGGGATTATAGGTGTGAGCCACCACGCCAGGTCTATTTGGTGCATTTAGACCACTGATGTTTAAAGTGATTATTGGTAGTTAAATTAATATCAACTATATTTGTCATTATTTTCTCTGTTGTTCTTATTCCTATTTTCATCTTCCACATATTTTCTGCCTTTTGTGGTTTTAAATGAGCATTTTATATGATTCAATTTTTTCTCCTTTCTTAGCATGTCAGTTTTACTTAAAAAAAAAAAAAAAACTTCCAGTGATTGCCCTAGGGTTTGCAACATCCATTTACAACTAGTCCAAGTTCACTTTTAAACAACATTACACCACTGTACAAGTAGTATATCTTACAAAAACAAAATAATCCTAAGTCTTCCCTCCTGCTCTTTGTGTTGTTGCATTCATTTCACTTATATGTAAGCATACATATAACATATAAACATACATAATCGAAAGCACTGTTGCTATTATTATTTTGAACAAACTTATCAGTTAGATAAATTAAGAATAAGAAAAATAAACATTTTTGTTTTATCTTTGTTAATTTCCTCTTTGATGCTCTTCTTTTCTTTATGGAGATCAGAGTTTCAAGCCCCTATTATTTTCTTTCTGAGTCTCCTGGATCTGAAGTTTGATGTCTGACATTAATTTAAGAAATGTCTCTGTCATTATTGTTTGAAATGTTTCTTTCTCTCTTTCTTTTCCATTTAGTATTCCCCTTATGCATATGTTTCACCTTTTGTAGTTGTCCTGCAGTCCTTATTCTTTTTTTTTTTTTTTTTTCTTTTCTCAGCCTTTTTCTTTGCTTTTCAGTTTTAGAGGTTTATGTTGAGATATTCTTAGGCTCAGAGACTCTTTCTTCAGCCACTTTCAATCTACTGATAAGCCCATCAAAGGCATTCTTTATTTTATAGTGTTTTTACTCTCTAGTATTTCTCTTTGCTTTTTCCTTAGGATTTCCATCTCTCTTCTTACATTGTCTACCTATTCTTGAATGATGCCTTCTTTATCTGTTATAGGCATTAGTATATTAATCATAGCGGATTTAAATTCCTCATCTGATAATTCCAGAATCGCTACCTGTCTGGGTCTGAAGCTTGCTCTATTCTCCTCAGATTGTTTTTCTTTTCTTTTCTTTTTTTTTTTTTTTTTTGCCTTTTGGTATGCCTAGTAATTTTTTCTTGATAGTTGGACATGATGTACCAGGTAAAAGGAACTTCTGTAAATCAGGTTTTAGTAATGCAGTAGTTAGGTGGGGGAAAGGGAAGGAGAGACATTCTATCATCCTATGATTAAGTTTCAGTCTTTTAGTAAGCATATGCCTCTGGTCTACAAACTTCTAAGTGTTTCCTCAGTATTCTTCTCCCCTCTTTGGCAGGACAGGATGGCTAGAGTTGTCTGGAGTTTAGTATTTCCCTTCTCTGATGCAGAAGGTTAGAGCTGACAAGAGTTACGTATTTCCCTTCCCTTGGGTCAGGCTCTAATAATACCCCAGCAGGTCAGGATTTAGCTAACTAATTTCTCCTGGGGGCAGACCTTGTTAAGAAGAGCACAGTGCTCTGGCATATTTCAAAATGGTTCATTTCATCCTCCCCCTGCCAGAAGCACATAGGGATTTTTCTGCAATATTTACTTGGAGAATCTAATTTAGCTCATGTAGGTAAGTCTAACAAAATAGTAGGGTTTCCCCATGAGTGGATCCCCCTGGAGTTTTAAACTTTTAGAGTTGTTCATACTGAACCTCCTATAATTCATCAATTACAGCTCAGGTTTTCTACCAAGGTACTGCTTCCTATGGGGGTTTCTATTTGTGACTGCATGCTCTATAGTAACTTGTGGCTCTCAGTATTTGCCAGTCTGTCTCTCTAGTCTTTTGGGGACAGTGGGTTTCCCTGTGTCTTCCCCTATCCTGGGTCCAATAAGAGTTGATTTATCAGTTTGCTCAGCTTTTTACTTGTTAGGGTTGGAATGGCAACTTCTAAGCTCCCTACATGTGGAACTGGAAACCAGAAGTCCTATTAACATTTTTGTATATGTCTTTTGGTGCATGTATGCATGTATTTCTGTTGGCTACATCACTTCAAAGTAGAAATACTGGGTCATATAGTAGGCATATATTCATCTTTAGTAGATAATTACAAAGAGTTTTCCAAAGTAGTTCTACCAATGCTCTTGCAACAGTGTACAAGGTGTACAAAGATTTCTATTTCT